AGGAGGGGACCGAGGAGCCGCTCTCACCGCCGCTGTCGCCGCCTTCCCCCCGCGCCTTCCCCGCAGCCCCCTCCTGGGCTTGGCCAGTGTCCCGTGCAGCTGAGAGACGATCCTCAAAGTCTCCTCAAGCCCCGCTCAGGACGTTCCAGCCGGAACCCTAGGCGCGCGGGCCCCGGAAACGCAGGGGCGCCCCCGGGTCTCGACCCTGGCCCGCGGTGCGGACCCGCCGCCGGGCCTCGCGGAATCGCCTTGGAGTGACTGGGCTGGAGGCGGCGGGTGCGCCGTGAGCAGCCGCAGGGGCGCTCCCTCCAGGCTCCCAGGGCTTGTTCTGGTTGCTGTTGTTGTTGAGCGTCTCGGGGTCTCCCGTGAGTTTCCAGTCCTGACAAAGCGCCCCGCGCTCCGGCAGCTGCGGGGGCGGCCGCGTGAATGCCTCGGCCCGGAGACCGCGTCTTCCCGGGGCGTCGCGGCGCCGCTCCTCGCCGGCTCCCCGCAGTTCTCGGGGTGCATCCGAGGGATGCGTCCACGCGCCGAGTTCGGTGTCGTCTGCGTTACAGCAGCAGTGCCTGGTGGCTCAGCTGCTTTCCTCCTTTCTCCAAGCCCGAAATCATGTTACACCTCCATTAAATTCATCCACATTCCGAGTGCACATCACGGGATTTAAATACAACTTCGGCGGCTGCAGCGACGGGGCACAGGGAACGCAGCGACGCTTACACTTAGGGGGTTTCAGTCTTGCGAAAAGGAAGCCCTGTGCTCTCCGTGTTCACGAGCAGGCTTGGAGCCACCGAAGCCTGGTACCACAGTGTCTGGTTCTATCCAGCAGGTACTTAATTGTAAGAGTTGTGATTTTATTAGATTAGCTTAGAGATTTCTTACAAAATGTATTTGAATAGCTTTGTCAGTAGCCAGCTAGTGTGGGTGAAAAAAAGTTTTTACAGGTCTTTCTAATCCATGAGAATGGAAACATGGTTTCCCCTCTTCTCCTGCTGGCTCATTTAAAATTTCTCCTAATCCTCTGAGCCCAAAATTCTTTTGTAATTTAAGTATCTTTTTGTTCCATTCACAGGACAACACAGTTGGAATAGATCAGCGGTGGGTTAAGGATGAAGGGCGTTAGGAAACTGCGGTTTAATTAGAAGTATATAAACCTATGCAATTCTTTGTAAATATTTCCAAGAACTGAAGCTTCTTGTTACAAAATGAAATTTTTATCACATTGGATGTTTATCTACAGAGAGATTTAGACGAGGCTTGTTATATAGTTGTGTGTGCTGTGTGCTGTTGTCATTGAACTGTTACAAAAAGAGAATTCTCTTAAAGTCTTTCTACAGCTGCATGGCAATAAAGAAATGTAGTTATGTCTCAATGACAGGAACCATCTGGAGTGAAACGAAACACTAACTTATCTAGATATATTTCTATAGGACATTAAACATCCAAGTGATTGATTGAATTCTAAAAGATTTTTGGCTGGATTTTGATTGGCTTATAAAAAGAATTGGTGGGGCTTCAGAATTCAGGGTCTTGAAATAAAATATGGCCTGAAACCTCCACCTTTAAATATTTACTGTTTTGGGTAATATATGTAGTCATTTTAAAAATGATTTATATGTTCACATCAATTTTTGAAAACCATATTGGAAAAGATCATGTGCTGAACATCTCATTTATGGAATGGAATGGCCACATGGGCATGATATCTGGCATTCAGATAAAAGACGGAAAGTGGAAATGTTTACATGTCCTGTAAATGTCCAAACACTCCAAGGTGGAGATTGTAGTTTTCGTCCAGATACTTGTTTTAAATAGGCTGACAAAAAAATTTTAGTGGGGGAAATAAATCAGGCCTAAAGCAAGATCACTTTTAATGAAAAGTAATGAGTAAGGGGGTGCCCATATATTTACATTTTAAGAAGTTATGGCAGTCCCCAAAACTAAGAATTTTGAAGGAATACTTTAGTTGTTTCCAATAAATGTACATTTAATCTTGTGCCTAAATTATAAGCTTTTTAGTTTCTTACATATTTTATAGTGCAGGATGTTTTACCTTATTGTTAGCAAAATAGATTATTGCACACCATCCAGAGAAAGCACCCTGCCTCCTGTGATTCCAAGAGAGAGCGAGAGTTCTCAGGTCTGCTTTCGAGCACAGAAGTTTAGACTTCATTGTTCGTTTATATTTATTACAGTATGACAATTCCTTCATAGTTGATTCTTTATTATATGCATTCACAATTTTTACATTGGGAACAGGTGCCTTGAGTAATCACTGTTGACAACTGCAGTGCCTTCTCTGACAGCTCAGAGAGGACAGTTCCCTGGTTTTGTAACATACACATGAGCATAGCCTAAGCCAGCTATTTTCTTTTTGCAGGTTACTCCCTGGAAAAAGGAGAAACACAGGGAAAGTCTTGGTCTGTCCACTCTCAACATATGAGATTTCTTTCTTTAAAGAGGAAATAGTGAAAATCAAGTCAGTGGTGTGAGAAACATTAAGTCTCATGAACCAAAATACAAATATTTGAAAAGGAAAATGAGCACTCCTGAAATTTATGTTGGTGCCTTGATGGACCTGAGTGAGTCGTGCTGGACTCAGAGACCGTCTAAATCCCGTTTGTAAAACTGGGCCCAATGTTTTCTGCAGTTAACAGTCATGAAATCTTGTGATTTGACTTGTGTAGTTCCTAGTGGCCGTGTGTGGTATACGATTAATACAGACTCATTTTTTCAAGTTCAAAGCAAATTCAGTAAAACACTAGAAAGAGAGCTCATTTTTAAAAATGTTGTGTTTAAGATTTAATGTGCGAGCCATTTTTTAGGCGATTTTTTAAAAACTAGGAAGATCTTTTCTGCTTAGATTTTATGGTAAATATGCACAAGCAAATGAAGATCACAGCTTTTTATGTACGTGATTATTTGTGTTGTAGCAGTTGGACATTGAAAGTGCTTTTTATTGCTAGTTTTAGATTTCTTTACCGAGTCCTTGACGCCATCTATATTTATCTGTTTGCTTCTTTCATTTCAGGCTTGTGACAAGGACCCCCAGTGCGGGAGAGGCATGTGCTGTGCTGTGAGCATCTGGGTGAAGAGCATAAGGATCTGCACACCTATGGGCAAAATAGGAGACAGCTGCCATCCGCTGACCCGGAAAGTTAGTATGTGCATCTCTGTTCACATGGTTCCCTCGTGTGTGGTGCCCAGCTTTGAGCAAGGTCTGTGTGACGTGAAGCCCAGGGTATGTGCTTGACGCTGGAAGTTAGAGAAGCCAGTGGAAAAGCGCCTGCTCTTCCCTCTCCCCTGCATTGGAAAGATTGTGTCCCCTAACTTCTTACCCTAGTGATCAGTTTCCTGTCGTTGTTCTCGTGACATTAGAGACATTTCATAAATGTAATTTCAAACACATGAATTAGCTTAAAAATCATGTAGGGGAAAAAATATATATGTTATACTATTGTGTGCTGCTTTGCAGAAATCAGAGTGTAGACGTTCTTGAAAAGATTTTTAATATCAGACCTACTGCTAAGGCAGAGTAAATTGTGTTTTGTGCTGGGGGCACGTGCCATGCTGTTAGGAGCTGCATTAAGAGTGTAAGAATTTGTACACCTGCGAGCACAGTGGAAGACACTGCCATCCGCTGTTTGGTTTCATTTTTCAGAAAATCATCGATAATACAACTAGTCTTGTATCTTAATTAAGATACTAAAGTAATTGACTCTATCCACAGGATAGATTGTTCACAGCCCTAGAGGTTCATGATAGTTAATTTTCCAATGTATCTTATCTACATATCTTATCTTCATATCAGAGTGGCCTAAGCCACACTTTTGAAGAGCTATTGGCAATAATTGGTAGGACCACAGGATGGCAGGATTGATAGGGCTCTAGAGGTCCTGCTGCAGATTCTGGGGCCTGCAGGGGACCAGCAGGTTTACATCCATTCTGGAAGGGGTAGGTGGTAGGCGGGAGGGAGCAGAGAAGTGTGGGGAGAGTCCTTGCCCTTCAGATTCAAAACTTTTGAAACACAATATGATCTCTGCAAAATCCTCCAGGGATGCAGTGCCTTGCTCTCCTAGTCCCATGTCCTCATTTTACCCAGCAGTAAAGTGAAGGATGTGCCCGGGCCAGGTGGCTTGTGGAGGCAGAACTCAGTCTCTAATGTTCTCTCTACACGTTATCAAAGCAAACTGAATTCCACCTCTACTTTTTATCACATGTGCATCGAGTTTAAAACTTAGTAGAATCAAACAACTTCCCTGTGCTCCACAGTGGCAGGTGACAGTTACTACTGTGACTTCTTCGGAATAAACGTAATGAAATAAACTGGGTCAGGTTGAGCTCTGTGTGAGTTGTGTGCATAGGGACTCTGGGTGTTTGGACATAACTGAAGGCCGAGTGTGGCTTTCCTGTGGTTTCCTTGAGAAACACTTCCTGTTACGTTTAGACCATTCCTCCCGTGGGTTCTGTCACTCGAGACTGTGCTTTCATTTTTAAACACGGTACGCACCTTTCAGTCTTGGCATTTTAGACCAGGAAAGGTCGTATAGCGTCAGTCGTCTGTCTTGGTTCCAAACCCGCTTGCAGGTGCCGCTGGCCCTGCCCCGCCTTCAGCACTGATCTCAGTGTGGTCGTGTTCCTTACTGAGTGTCGGTCATCATTTGTACGTTTGCACCTTTGTCGCTGAAAAGCTTGCTCTTAACTCAGCCTCTCCTTTAAGACCTGTGTTGCTCTTGAAGTGTGAGCATCACCTCACAACCCTGGGTGAGGACTGCACCGCCTGTGCTAACACGTGAGGAGTGACAGGGCCTGGGGAGCCGTTTTTGTATTAGCAGTAACAGTTGCCACGTGCTGCATGTTGCCATGTGCTACGTGTCCCATACTAGATGTCATGTGTGAGTTTCTTAGTAAAGGCTCACGGAAGCCTGTGAAGTAGGGTTGCTTTTGTCATGGTCTCCACACACCAGCATTCAGACAGCGAGGGCTTCGGCAACTGCCTGACGTCACAAGGTCAGGTCAGAGGGCAGGCGCCTGACTTCACTTCTGGTCTGTGGTCTTAACCACTAGACTCTTCTTTCTCCATGAAAGCTGTTGTGTTTGTTGAACATTTTTTAGTCCAATTGACCAGAACTGGTGTGTGTGGGCGAGAGGTTCACTGGGATGAGGGCTAGCAGGTCAGAGTGGGAATTTGTCTCATCCTGTAGTTCCAGTGAGTTTCCAAATCTGAAATGTTTTTATTTATTTTTCTTTTTCTCCCATCATCATTTACCTCCCATGCCCCCTACCCACAACCACCCCACTGTTGTCTGTGTCCATGGCTTCTTTCTCTTTTTTTGCTCAATCCCTCCACCCTGCCCAGCACCCCCCAGCTGCCTGCCTGCTCTCTATCTATGAGTCTGTCTCTGTTTTGCTTGTGAGTTTAATTTATTCATTAGATTCCACATAGGAGTGAAATCATATGGTACTTGTCTTTCTCTGACTCACTTATTTCACTTAGCGTAATGCTCCCCAGGTCCATCCATATAGTCACAAAGAGTAACACTTTCCTTTTTAAGGCCGAGTAGTATTCCATTTTGTAAAAGTACCACAGCTGTTTTATCCACTCATCTACTGATGCGCACTTCAGCTGCTTCCAAATATTGGCTATTGTAAATAATGCTGCAGTGAACATAGGGGTGCATATATTCTTTCAAATTAATGTTTTGGGATCCTTCAGATATATTCCCAGAAGTGGAATTGCTGGGTCATAAGGCAGCTCTACCTTAATTTCTTGAGGAACCTCCATACTGTTTTCCACAGGGGCTGCCCCAGTCTGCATTCCCACCAGCAGTGCACTAGGGCTCCCCTTTCTCCACACCCTCGCCAGCACCTGTTGTTTGTTGATTTATTGATGGAGCCACTCTGACAGGTGTGAGGTGAGACCTCATTCTGGTTTTAATTTACATCCCTCTCATGACTAATGACATAGAGCAACTTTTCATATGTCCCTTGGCCATCTGTATATCCTGTTTGGAGAAGGGACTATTCAGGTCCTTTGCCCGTTTTTTAATTGGATTATTTGTGGGGGGTTTTTGGTGTTAAGTTTTATAAGTTCTTTATAAATTTTGGACATTTAACCCCTTATGAGATATATCATTGGCAAATATGTTCTCCCATTAAGTGGGTTGTGTTTTCATTTTGCTGATGGTTTCCTTTGCTGTGCAAAACTTTGTAGTTTTATTTAGTCCCATTTGTTTATTTTTTTCTTTTTTTCCCTTGCCCGAGGAAATATATCAGAAAAAATATTGCTATGAGAAATATCCGAGATTTTACTATGTTTTGTTCTAGGATTTTTATGGTTTCAAGTCTAACATTTAAGTCTTATTTTTAATATGTTTTGTTTTTTCTATTGATTTCAGAGAGAGGAACATCAGTGATGAAAAAGTCATTGGTTGGCTGCCTCCTGCAAGCCCCTTACTGGGAACTGAGCCCAAAACCCAGGCATGTGTCCTAACTGGTAATTGAACCATGACCTCCTGGTTCATGGGTCAATGCTCAACCACTGAGCTATGTTGGCCGGGCTCACATTTAAGTCTTTAATGTGTTTTTAGTTTATTCTTGTGTGTGGAGTAAGGAGGTGGTCTAGTTTTACTTTCTTTGCACGCATCTGTTCAACTTTCCCAACACCATTTATTGAATAGACTGTCTTTAGCCCATTGTATGTTTTTTCCTCCTCTGTCAAATATTAATTAACTATAAAGGTGTGGGTTTATTTCTGGGCTCTCTATTCTGTTCTATTGATCTATATGTCTTTTTATGCCAGTACCATGCTGTTTTAATCACTATGGCCTTGTAGTTTGATATCAAGTAGTGTAGTTCCTCCAATTTTGTTATTTCTCAAGATTGCTGTTGCTATTTGGGGTCTTTGTTTTCATATCAAATTTTGGAATATTTGTTCCAGCTCTGCAAAATGCACCATTGGTATCTTGGTAGGAATTGCGTTGAATCTGTAAATTGCTTTGGGTAGTATGGATACTTTAATGACATTAATTCTTCCTGTCCATGAACATGGTATATGCTTCCACTTAGTTGTATCTTCTTCAGTTTTTTTCTTCATTGTCTTACAATTTTCTGAGCACAGGTGTTTTACATCCTTGAATAAATTTATTCCTAGGCATTTTATTCTTTTAAAGCAGTTGTGAATGGGATTTTTTTTTAGTTTTCCTTTCTGATAGTTTAATATTGCTGTATAAAAATGCAACGAGTTTCTCGGTATTTATTTTGTATTCTGCTACTTTACTGAATTCATTTATTAGTTTTAGTAAATTTTTGGTGGAACCCTTAGGGTTCTCTATATACAGTATCATGTTATCTGCAGATAATAACAGTTTTACTTCCTCTTTTCCTATTTGGATGCCTCTTATTTCTTCTTCCTGTCTGATTGCTGTGGCTAGGACTTCAGTACTATGTTGAATAAGAGAGGTGAAAGCAACATCCCTATCTTGTTCCTGGTCTTAAAGGGAACACTTCTAGTTTTTGCCCATTCAGTATGTTGTTGGCTGTGGGTTTTTCATATATGGCCTTTATTACATTAAGGTGTGTTTCCTCTCTTCTCACTTTGTGAAAGTTTTTATCATAAATGGGTGCTGGGTTTTATCAAATGCTTTTTCTTCATCTATCGATATGATTGTGTATTTTTTTTTATTCTTATTGTTAATCCTCACCTGAGGATATTCTTTCCATTGCTTTTCAGAGAGAGTGGAAAGGAGAGAGAGAAAATCATCGATGTGAGAGAGACACATTGACTGGTTGCCTCCCACACATGCCCCAACTGAGACTGGGGATTGAACCTATAACCAAGGTATGTGCCCTTGACCTGAATCGAACTCAAGACCATTCAGTCCATGGGCTGACGCTCTAACCACTGAGCAAAACTGGCCAGGGCAATATGATCATGTGGTTTTTATCCTTCATTTTCTTTATGTGGTGTATCACATTTATTGAATTGTGGATATTGTACCAACCCTGCTCCCCCAGATTAAATTCCACTTGATCATGGTATATGAACTTTTTGATGTGCTGGATTAGGCCTGATAATATTTTGTTGAGGATTTTAGCATCTATGTTTATCAGGGATATTATCGTATACTTTTCTTTCTTTTTCATATCTTTATCCAG